TATATATATATATATTTTGTTTTGCAGTACCGGGAATCAAACTCAGGACCTTGCGCTTGTAAGGCAGGCGCAGTGCCACTGAGCTAAATCCCCTGCCCTTATAAATATCTTATGAAATGTCACTCCAAAATTTCAACAGAATATATTACTAAAAAGGGGCCCTTGCATACTGCTCTATAAATTATGTGTGCTGTTGTATTATTTTGCTTACTTCGTCTTTGCTTCTGAACTAATCTTTTCAACCTGATTAGTTCTGTATGGAAGGCTCTCTCTTTTCACTTTTACCAATGACCAGTGGTATTGGGTGTCACACAGTTCTCAGTAAAGACTGCTCATTTGTCTTCAATTTGTGGCTTTCTTTTGGCTGCTGAGGATTAAACCCAGAGACTTCAAGAGCTGCATCCCCACCATTTTTTGGAGACAGAGTCGAAGTTGCCCAGGTTGGGCTCACAATCCTCCTGCCTCAGCCTCCTAGAGTGCTAGGAATTACAAGGGTGCACTACCTGGAGTTATGATTTAGATCTAGAATATCGTGTGTTCAGAGGCAGGGCTTCTGGGCTTGCCTGGATTAAGGGGGCACCGCAGCTGACCTGCTGACAGAAGTGGGGGCTGGTCAGAAGAGGCGTTTCCCTGGGGGGTGTGACACAGAAGTGTACTTTCTTGGCCCTAGCTCCTTCTTTGCTCTCTGCTTCCTGGCCACCATGATGTGAGCAGCTTTCTCTGCCAGACCTTCCACCATGCAGTTCCTCCTTGGAGCCAGATGACTATGGACTGAACCCTTAAAAACCACAAGCCAAAATAAACTTTCCCTCCTTTAAGTTGCCAGTGTTGGGTATATTGTCCCAGCAACAAGAAGGTGATTAGGACAGATTTTGTTACTGGGAGTGGGGCCACTGCCATGACTGTAACTGACCACGTGATTTAGAAGCCTTTGGAAGTGGTTCGTGGGAGGAGTTTGGAAAAGCCTGGAGAAGTGCACTAGAGAAGCCCTAGAATGCTGTGAGCTGTGTTTGATGTAAGATACTGGTCAGAGCTTGGAAGACTTGAATGCTGATAAAAATACAAACAGTAAAGGCCAGGCTCAGGAGGTTTCAGTTGGGAATGAAGACTCCATTGGTAGTGTTATGCACTGGCAGAAAATTTGTCTATATTTTGCCCATGTCCTTAGACTTTGCAGGAGACTGAGATTAAAGGTGGCAGATTAATCAATCTGCTGGCAATTTCAAGGCATTCCAACATTCAGGCTGTGGCATGGGTACTGGGGCTGCTTTTAAAATATTTACTGTGAGAATCAGAACCAAAAAGCAGAGCTAAATAATGTATACATTTTGCTGGTGGCCAGAAAGGAGGCACATGTAAAGTTGGGGCCTAGAAAAGTCAGGGCTGAGGAGAGTTTGGTTGCTGAAAAAATTAATATTAAAAAGAAGCCAAGAATTTTGCATTAGGGCAATAGGAAAGATCCCTTGAGGGCATCTCAGGAATCGGCAAGACCTCAATCCTTTGACCACGCTAAAGTTCAGAGGTGAAGTTTTGCTTTGAGAAAAGAGCCACAGGGAGCCCAGCTCATTTAAGGCCAACTAAAAAAGATTCTCCTGAAGTTCATCCAGCCACCCACACAGTCAGAGGCTGCTACAGACAAAATGCAAGGCAGCCTGGTTACTGCTTGAGCTGGTAGCAGACCATGGCATCCATCATTCATGTGGTACTGGTTTCTCAGGTATGCAGAATGCACAGTTGTGGGGTCAGGGAAGCTCCCACACAGACTTCAGAAGCGCTGGGGGGCCAGGCGGTTTGCCCCTGAGAAGGCAGTGTGTGAACTGTGAGAGTGAAGCCTTCAGTGGAGACCCCAGGAAGCTGGAGAAGGCAGGAGCGTGGAATGTCTGCTGAGGAAAGCCACAGGCGGGGAGCAGAGCCACCCAGGAGAGAGGCCAGGAGGGTTGCGACTGGCAGTGCTGTAGGCACTCAAGCCTTGTGGAGTTCACGTCTCGCCACAACTTCCTCAGGTGTTGGAGACAGCTATGGAATTTACAGTCTGGCCTGCTGGCTCTAAGTCTTACTTTCATCCTGCTCCTTTCTATCTCCCTCTTCTCCCTTTCAGCATGGCAATCTTTTTTTTTTTTTTTTCCAGCATGGCAATCTTTACCCCTGCCACTGCATCCTGGCCATATTTAATTTTTGTTTTGATTTTTATAGGGGCTCACAGCTAAGAGTTACCTTGAGTCTCAGAGGAGATTTTGGACTTGGACTTTTCCACAGTGCTAGAACCGTAAAGACCTTGGCAACTCTCAGAGATGGACTAAATGTATTTTATGTAAAGAGATATCTATGAGTCTTTTGAGGGGCAGGGGCAAGATGTTATGGTTTAGATCTAGAATATCTCCCCAAGAATCATGGGTTCAGATGTGGGGCTTTGGGGAGGTGACTGGATTATGGGGATGCTATAGCTGAATTGCTGTTAGGAGGTGGGGCCTGGACAAAAGAGGTGGGCCACTGGGTGCAACACAGGAGGGCCTCTTGTCCCCAGCTCCTTTCTCTCTGCTTCCTGGGCACCATGCTGTGAGCAGCTTTCCTCTGCCAGACCTTCCACCATGCCCTTCCCGCCCTGGAGCAGCCAACTACAGACTGAATTCTCTAAAAACTATAAGCCAAAATAAATCTTTCCACTTTTAAGCTGTGGGTGCTGGGTATATTGTTTCAGGGACAAGAAAGTGACTAAGGACTCGGGTTAAACCAATGGCTTTTTCCTACATCCAATAAGGTTTTGGGGAGGCTCTTGTGACAAATCAAGTGAGAGCAAAGGGAGCATGTTAGGTCTCTTGAGACCATGCTCATGACAGCTAGCTCACACTCAAATTAACATGGTGAGGAAAGAAACTATACCTCATCCAAGCCGACGATGTCAAGCTGACAGCTTTAATTTTATTTTACTTCCGTATCCTTCCTAGTATCCCAACCAATTCCTTCCCTTTTTTCCATGATTGATTTTCTAGTCTGGAGCTATCTGGTCACTTTGTTCTCATTCTTCCTTGCCAAAACAGGCACTTTGCTTTGCTAATTTCTCAGCCTGTCAGCAGCTCTGGAATGAGCTACAGGATGCTTCCTGTGACTCTGCTGATCTGAACCACTCACCGAAACAGCCAGGTGCTGGATCTGCACACAGGAAGGGTCAACAGACAAAAGGTGCCACCACTCACCTTGCCCCTTAAATTCTTTAAACCGCTCCAGGTCATCACGGTACATTCGCTTAATTGTCGTGGCTGCCCTTTCCTTGATGTCAGGAATGAACTCCTGGAGCTGCCTCACCGCTGAATGCAGATCCACGTCTGAATAATCAGAATCCCTCCAGTCTTCAGATGCCAATCTCACAGCCTCGCTAGCCAATTCCAGATTGCTTTCTTCTTCACTGGCAGGTTCTGACCTAAGAAGGAAAGCTAGTTAACATTAACTACCACTGGACCTAGTAAGAAAAACTGGGTTAACATTAGCTACCACTTGACCTAACAGCTTTTAAACTCACTTCCTACATGACTCTCCCAGAGTGTTCAGGCTAGATGGGGCGCTGGAGTTGTCTGTGATTTTAACCTCTTTGATGTGATCTGATTTTTTGCATATATGTCCCAAGTGGCGTAGCAGGTAACATAAGGCCCTAAGTGCTATATTTGTTTAATTACTATTCTCATCTTTTTTGGTTTTTATACCTACAGAAAATCAGACATTCCTCCCCAACCCTTCCAATGAGTTACATTTTGTAACAGGACCGTTAGGAATTAATTGAATCCGTATTTTGGATTTTACATATAGTTGCTCCTGCTACAGATTCTAAGAGCCTTTTTTTCCTTTAATTTTCTGTGTCTCCATCCTAAGTCCTCCCCCAGTTCTCTGCCAGATGTCTAAATCTGCTCTTCATATGTCCAAGCATATTACTGAACCTCTTAGATTGGTAACTAAAAAGACTCCAGGTACCCGTTTGAGCAAAGTGTTAACAGCTTCCGGAGGGGCCACAGCCCCACTGACAGCAAAGCACCAAGCACAGTCCTGCTTCCTGAGCAGTGTCCTGAGAAGTCCCCCAGAAGACAGCACAGAGGATGCTGCAATGCCACCTGACGCGCGTCCCTTTCACTTTCCTGTGAAACCACCTTACAATAGGACAACCTAACAAATCTAAGGAAGTCACTGAGCAGAAGTAGGGGAAAATCTGTCCTGAGTCTCAGGAACTATGAAAGTACTTAAAAAATCCTTGTGTTGGGCCAGGGATTTAGCTCAGTGGTTTCACCACCTGCCTTGCAAGCGCAAGGACCCGAGTTTGATCCTCGTGTTAATTCATCAGACAGTATCCGTCAGTGGTATTTATATAAGCTCACCATTCCCACATTACCTCCTCGCCTCTGCTATGCGCTTCTCTCCTGAAGAGGCCTGGGTCTGCTCCTCCTGGGGTATCTCCTTCACATTTTCTTCAAGCAAGACACAACTGCCTGCCGCTGGGTCGCGGAGTGTGTCCTCAGAGTTCTCACCACACACCAAGGTGCCTTGGACAGATGCACGCTTCCTCTTCTTAGAACTGTTCTTTATCTTGACCCTTTTGAGTACATCGCTGCCTTCCTCAGCCCCAACCTCGCTGACCACCTGTGATCCTTCGGGGAACGGGTGATCGGGATGCTCAGGCCTGGCCAAGGCTCCCGACTCCTGGAGAACAGACAGTTTCTTCTTTTTTTTCTTAGCTTTGTTTTTATAAGCAGACTGCAGTCGCTCTGTGATTTCACCTTCTTGGTCTACAGACAGCGAGGACGGCTGCTTGTGTGGTACCTTCTGGGGCCTGGGTTTCACATTCCCTTCCATCAAGGCATGACTGCCTTGTGCTGAATGAGAGTGTGTGTTCTCAGGGTTCTCATCACCAGACTCCATGGTGCTTTCCAGAGACACACGCTTCCTTTTCTTAGAATTTTTCCTTATACCGATGGATCCCTTGGCCTTTCTGAGTACATTGCTGCCTTCTCCAGCCCTGACTTTGCTGACCACCTGCAATCTTTCAGGAAAGGCATGATTGGGACTCTCAGGCCTGGCCAAGGCTCCCGACTCCTGGAGAACGGACAGTTTCTTCTTTTTTTGCTTAGCTTTGTTTTTATGAGCAGACTTCGGTCGCTCTGTGACTTCGCCTTCTTGGTCTACAGACAGCGAGGACGGCTGCTTGTGTGGCACCTTCTGGGGCCTGGGTTTCACACTCCCTTCCATCAAGGCATGACTGCCTTGTGCTGAATGAGAGTGTGTGTTCTCAGGGTTCTCATCGCCAGACTCCATGGCACTTTCCAGAGACACACGCTTCCTTTTCTTAGAATTTTTCTTTATGCCGATGGATCCCTTGACCTTTCTGAGTACATCGCTGCCTTCTCCAGCCCTGACTTTGCTGACCACCTGTGATTCCTCAGGGAACACATGACTGGGATGCTCAGGCCTGGCGAAGGCCCCTGATTCTCGGGGACTGGACAGTTTCTTTTTTTTCTTAGCTTTGTCTTTATGAGCAGACTGAGGTAGCTCTGGGATTTCACCTTGGTCCACAGACAGCGAGGATGGCTGCTCACGTGATTCTGGCTGGGGCTGGGAGATGCTCACGTGCTGGCTTTCCTGCACAGTATCCCAGGATGTGGCTTTCCTAGGAAAGTTTTCATTCTTTTTCCCCCTAACCTTATTATGCAGTTCTTCTGGCTCATTTCTATTTGACTTGGTCATGCCATGCAGCTTCTCTGCTTTATGCCCTTTTGTTGACTTTCGTACTTTGCTCACATCGACATAAATGACATCCACATCCCTCCGAAAATTCTTTGGCATGTTCTCAATATTTTCTTTACCCACAAAGACATACATAACACCTGTTTCCTTGTCTACCCTCAAAGCACCATTTCTCCTCTTTTGATGTGTAGAGATGGCCTTTTCACTCTCATCACAGATTTCTGATTTTTTTCAAAGGAGAAGAAATGAGAGGCTGGAAATCCTTCCTCTTCTTAGTTATTTGACAGTGGTCACTTGCCAGAGAGGCGTCTCTGAAACCTTCGTGGGCACGTTTCCGGGGCCTTTCTTTATATACAGGGTACTTTTCCTTGTTGAAAACGTGTGTGTGGATTTCAAATCTGCTTGATTCTCCTTCCATTTTATGCCTATAAAGAAATGTGACAACAATAGTTTATTTTTGCATTTTAAACATTAGCCTGGGCAGGGGGAATTACAGCAAAATGAAACTGCATGACAAATGATAAACCTGCAGTCACAATTATAAATTTTACACTATGTTATATAAAATCCACAGAAGAATCATGGGAATCCACTCCCTTTAGGACCACTAGTAAGGATGAACTTTCATAGCAAACTGTGCTTCTCTTCTGTATTTAAATTTAAAAAATAAAATAATGACTTAGTCATTTAATATGTGTCTTTTGCTAAAAAGGCAAATACCAAAGAGGAAGGTGGTCTGTCTGCCTCACCTCCTCTCCCTTTCCATCCCTGAAAGCAGAATTTCAAGACTCCATGAGTGGAGGCTGCACGGTGGGCTCCACTGTGGGGCAGCAAGTATGCAGGGACCTCAGCTGGGAAAGTCAGTTCTGGGCAAAAGAGGGCAGAAATGCCCTGTTAGTGGACGACAAAGGGTGAAAATTCTACAACACAAGGCTCTAATGTTTTATTTTTTTATTTTTTTGGTGCCGGGGATTGAACTTGGGTCCTTGCGCTTGCACAGCAGGTGGCGAAACCACTGAGCTAAATCCCCAGTCCACAAGGCTCTAATGTTAATACTAACATGGCACATGTCTTTTGGAATTTAAACATAGTAACAGAGATGTACTTTAGAAAATACATGGTTAAAAAATATAGTTTTGCAAGCACACCACATTCTTTTTTTTTTCAGGTACTGGGGATCAAACTCAGGACCTTGCTCTTGCGAGACTAAATCCCCAGCCCACCATATTCTTGCTCTGTATTACTTCTCAGTTCAAATTTTTAGATTTTATGTAGCTTTGTCTAGGTAATACATTTACATGGCTTAAACCTAAAAAGTCTACTCTTATTTCCTTTCCTTGGCATTGACACATTCCAATCTGCAGATGTTGTTTCCACTAATAACAGATCCTGGGGCTTGAAAGCCTAAATGTTATTCGTATTTCTGGCAAAAGGCACCCAATGTATCCTGGGTAGTAGGTGGCAGCTCTAAGACCTATGCTGCTGGAGGGAAGAGGATGTGAAAGAACATCTGAATAAATAACTACAAGGCAGGTCCCTCAGCCCTGAGACTTCGCCTTTCATGGGGGCACCCAGACCTCTGGGTGAGACCCTCATTCCTGATGTCACCCAGCTAGGAACCACCACCCAGAGACACAGGGATGCCTCTCTTGACCTCAGCTATTGAACAGGTGCTCTAACTTGACTCCCTGTTCAGAGAGGGTCCAGCAGGTTGGGTCTTATGCCTTATGAAGCTCCAACTCCTAGCACTGTGAGTGGCCCATAAGAACTCAATAAATTTCTTTGGCTCCCCTCAAGCTGCTGAGAATGGCTAGGGAAAACTCCCCCTCACACCTGGCCAGATGAGCACCACTCTAAACACCTGGTTCCTCCCTACAGCTGGGAAGTGAACACTGCGAACTCTTTCTCTAGATCTGTGTAGTCCCATAGGGTAGGTAATAGCCACATGAGACTAATAAGGACTTGAAATGTGACCAGGACTACAGGGAACGGGGAAGGGGACGTTACCAGGACCTCTGGCGTAGGTCCTGGCCTGTGAGCCAGCATAGCACAAGGCGAATTCAAGAACAGACAGAAATCGAGACTTAGAGTGGAGAAGCTAAGTCTTAGGTCCTGATCAGTGCTGCTGATGGCAACAAAGACAAAGGCCCCCAAGCACATCCAGTGTTTATTAAATACAGTTGTGGGAAGGAATAGGGAGCTGGCTATGCTTTGAAGACATCCAGTGAAACACTGCCGAACACCTGGCATGATGGTGCCAGGCAGGGCTGTTGGAGAGGAAGCACTGTTTGTGTCTTGCTTGGATAGAACAAAGCAGTACTGGGGCCAGGTACAATTAGCAAGCAACCCAACAGGTCAGTGAGAAGCCATAATTCAGGGGGAAGGCTTTTAATTGGGGTCATGCTGACCTCAGCTGCATGTAACTCAGCAGAGCCCTGCCACTTCACAGACCAGGCCTAGGTTCCCGAGGCAGCCATCCAGGGAGAGGCTAGACTTGCCCAGTCTACCATTTTTCATGCCCATGTGAGTCACACAGAGCTTCAGTCTGACTCCTGATATAAAACAACATAGCCGAATTATGGAAAGCAAGAAGCAGATGCCGCTCACAGCCTGCTAGTACTGGGCAGGGATGTGTGCTACACAGCACACACTGGGGCCTGCTATAGAATACACACTACATTTTGAAGACTTCAAACAAAGAGGATTAAACATCTCAATAATTTTTATATGCTGATTTAATACTGAAATAATATTGGATACTGGGTTAAGTAAAACACATTCCTAATTCTGCCTGCCCCTTTGAAAGCTTTTTACATAGCTACGGGAAAATTTTAAACTACATATGCAGCTTGCACCATTCCATTTTTCTTAAAATAGTAATTATTTCAAATTTCCTTTACCTAAGAACTTCCAAATGTCATTCTTTCTCTCCCATCTGCTGCTATGAACTTGCCTACAACCTCACACTCTCAAGACAAGAAACAGCTTACGGGGGCCCGGGATTTGTCTCAGTGGTTCCGTCGCCTGGCTCGCAAGCGCAGGGTCCTGAGTTCGATCCCCAGTACCAAAAAAAAAAAAAAAAAACCAGCTTATGCTCAGAATCAAACACACCTGGCTCCATCCTCTCTCTCTTGCTCCAACAATGTGTCCCTCTCCTGAAGGTTGTTCCCTTCAATGTGTGTGCTGACCCCACCTCCACCTGCCTTCTCAGAGTGCTCCATTGGGTACCTACTCCCCATGTGGGGCTCTCCCTTCTGCACTGGCTCCTTTGTAGCAACACTCCAACAATCTTCTGTCTTTCCTACTTAAAAAATAAAAATAAAAAAGCAACCACCTTCTAACCCTCAAGTCCCATTCAGTTATTCCTCTCCCCACTTCATAGCAACATTTATTGAGAGAGAAAATGTTCTTTCCATTCCTCACTTTCCACTTCTTCTTTTTAAGGTACTGGAGCAGAACCCAGAGGCCTTCTACCACTCAACTACATCCCCGGCCCTTTTATTTTTCCCATTCTTTATTTTGACACAGGGTCTCAGTTGCCCAGGAAGGACTCGAACTTGTGACTTCCTGGCCTCAGCCAGAGTGCTGAGATTACAGATGCGTCGGGTTCTATCCAGTTCTTAACCTACATCTTTGTAGCTTCCATCTCAGCACTCCCCTGGGACTGCTCCAGTAAAAATGCCTGTGACCTTCAAGTCACGGAATTTAATACAGTTCAGGATTCCTTAATAACAATGAATAAAAAGGACAATTCCTTTAAATACTCTTACCTTCCATCATTTTTTTTCTTTTTTGGTAAACACTTCTTCAAGGTATCCTTCTGGACTTTCCATTCAGTACAACCTTTGAAATACACAAGCAGCGGGGGATTTAGCTCAGTGGTTCGTTCGGCCGCCTGCCTCGCAAGCGCAAGGTCCGGAGTTCGATCCCCGGTACAAAAAAAAATACACAAGCATTGCCTGCTAAAAACACTATAGTTCCCTCATTATTCTTCTGATAAAGTCAAAATCTTTACAGCCCAACAAGTCTCTTCCAGTCTTCAGGACCTGGTCTGGCCCATGTCTGCCTCTGTATTCCTCCTTCGCAGCTGGGTGTCACGCACTCCGCCTTCTTTCAGTTCCTAGAATACACTAACGTTCCTTTTCCTGCCAGACACTTCGCAAAAGCAGCCCGGAATGCGCTTCTGTCCCGTTGCTGCTGCGCCCTTTAACTGGCCCGAGTATGAAACCCATTTTCTCGAGAGGGCCTCGCTAACTCAAGGGAACCCCATCTCCCTGTTCGTACAGTGTTTCCCAACAACCCAGCTCTTTCTTCCCTAACGCACTCCGCAGTTGAGATGGGGTCGGCCTCTGAAGGCAGGGATCTGCCCGGCTCGCTCCCAAGCGGCCCGAGTGCAGCCTCCTCCTAGGAGGGGACACGTGCGTCTCCCCACTTGTTGGAAACACACTTCCGCCCTGCAGGCTCCGGGCTCACGCCGGGCCCGGCCTCCCTCACCACCTCCGGGTGCGACAGAGACCTTGCTCTGCTTCTGGGTGGGCGCTCCGAGCTGAGAGGGCGAGGCCTAACTAGATGGGGACTTTCCACCCTCTTAAGCCTAAAGTCCCAAGCCGCAATCTTGGGTGACGCGCCCGCGGCGGCAGCGAAGGCCGAGGCGCCAATCCAGCCATGGAGACCTCAGGCCAAAGGCAGATCTCAAAAGACTAAGGCAACCGCCGCTCAGCTTCTACATGCGCATGTTTAAAAATGAAACTAAGCAGTAAGGGCACTTTCAACCTACCCTGTAAGAAACGTCGCCACTTATTTCCCAGCCGGAAGTGTCTCTGTTGGAAGCGGAAGTAGCCGTGCGTCATTTCCAGCCCCCCCCCGGTGTCACGCTGCCATAGCAACACGTCCACCGCCCGGATCTGGCGCGTGCGTAGCTGCCAGTCCGTGTTTCTGGCGCCTTGGGGGATAGGTTGAGGTAAAAGTGCTCTAAGACTAAGAAAATAGGACGAAATTTTTCCATTGCCTTTTTCGAGACACGATCTCGCTTTGTAGTGCAGGCTGGCCTCGAGCTCACGGCGATCCTACTGCCCCAGCCTCTCCAGTGCTGGTATTACAGGCATATGCCGCCAGCCCAGGCTCATTGCCTTGTTAATCCATGCATACATTCAATTTATTTCGCAAGTTTTTGCTGAGCTCCATCTGTAGTCTGGGAGTAAACAACCCAGGGAAGACAGAAGAACAAATCAATCAAGATAATTTCAGATTATCCTGTAAGAAAAATAAAACCGAGTAACGCGATGCAGGATGACTGGGGACAATGGATCCCACTTTAGATGAAGAGCAGACTCTTTGAGGCGGTTTCTGAGTGAATAAGATAAAATCTAGGTAGATGAGTGATCCAGGCTAGAAATGCAAAGCCCCTGAACTTGGCTTCCAGAGGAACTGAAAGAAGGCGGGATGAAGTCAGGGGCAGACAGGGCCAGCTGGTGCAGGGCCTGGTGCACATTAAGCTGAGTGAAGTCTCAAAAGACTGTGGAGCTCTCGTCCAACCCTCCCATTTCAACAAAATCTCAGGCTGGGGGTGTAGCTCAGTGGTATTTGTGCCTACCATCACCAACACACACATACAAAAAGATTGACCACCGAATCCTGAAGAAACTTAGCTTATGATTAAAGGCAAAGATTTAATCAGGCCATCAGATCAAGGCCATAGTCTATACCACCCAAACTTGTAGGCTTTTTGCATAGTGAACATACTATGTAGACACATATGAGGCAACAAGTTTTTAATTCATTTGTGCAACAACCTTCTGGTGTAGATATCTTTATTGAGCGGTTCTGTTTTAGTCCCTCCTTGCACATGAGAAAAGTGAGTCTTAATGGTCACTCTTCCAAGGTGATTAACTTGGCTCAGGAGTCCACCACCCTGCCCTTCACCATATCACCCCAATATTCTCTGTGTGAGCTGGTAAGCAGCTTTACCTAAAAAGTACACAACTGGGTCAGGGATTTAGCTCAGTGGTGCTGCACCTGCCTTGTAAGCACAGGGTCCTGAGTTCAATCCCCTGTACAAAAAAAAAAAGTGCACAACTTATATGTCTGTGAAAGTCTAGATGTGAAGCAGACTAGAGAACCGTTAAGCATAAGCAGACACATACACAAGCACACATACAGGCGATGAGCAGTTAGAAGCCTGTCTGGTCTGCTTTACTAATGTAATGTTGTCTACTGTTGGCGTGTAAGGCCCTGTAAGTTCAGACCGGTTGTCAGTGCAGCTTGCTCTCTAGTGAACCCAGAGCCTTGTGTAAGTGGATATCTTCATGTCTAGTGAAGATGATAGTGATGGATGAAGATTGGAACTGGAAGGGAGTTTAGAGATCATCCAGGCCAGTGGTTCCTGAAACACTGCACAAACCACCTGGGAAGCTTTTTGGAGTTTTGTTTTGTTTTGTTTTGTTTTGTTTTGGTACCAGGGATCAAACTTGGGTCCTTGCACTTGCAAGGCAGGCTGCAGAACCACTGAGCTACATCCCCGGCCCTGAGAAGCTTTTTTAAAATATAGATCCCCAACTTTGCACATGAACTGTATAGGAGACACTATCATTGCATCACAGTGGAATCTTTGGACATGATAAGGACATTGCAGTCATGTGTGAATATGTCCTCGATATGTGATGAATTATTTAGGGTTGAACATGATATTGTTTGAGATATTTTCAAATAACCCAGCAATGTGGGTGTGTGTGTTGGTGCACACACTCGAATGTGGCAGCAACTGTGGCAAGAGTGAGAACTGGTGAGTCCTGGTGATATTTGTATGGCTTTTCCTTATACTCTTCTTTCAACTCTTTTGTAGGTCTGAAGTTTTTCAAAATAAAGTTGGTTGTGGCGAAGAGATTTATAAAAATGCGAGTCCCAGATGCCATTTTCAGATATTCTAATTGGGCAATTCTGGGCGAATCCTGTGACTCTGAATTTTTCAATTTCCCTCTGTTCTGTTGCACAAAGTTGAATACCATGGATCTAATCCAACTTTAGACTTTCCCTCACGCCCATTTCACAGAGGAAAACACTGAGGACCCAAGAAGGTAAGTGGCTTGAGGTCACCCAGTGGGTCACCAGCAACATCAAGCCTGGAATGAGGATTTCTATTCCATCATGAAAGTTTCAGCTCTTTATCTTGGGCATATGTGTGTGGAGCAGAGAGAAGAAGTGAGGAGGGAACCCTGAGTGGATGGGAAGTGGGTGGAGGGACCATATCTTTGACTTGAAAGTCAGGCATAAATAGTCCTCTAGGACCTCACACTTTTAACACAACTAGTGACGATTCTTGGGTTTTTTTTTTTTTTACTGAGGTAGGGTAGAAGAAATAAAGATAGGTAGAAAAGAGACAAGGAAAATTATACTTTTAAAAATTGTATTTTATTGTTTTGGTACTGGGGATTGAACTCGGGACCTTACACTTGTGAGGAAGACGGTAGAACCACTGAGCTAAATTCCTGGCCCCAAAAACTGTATTTTAAAGAAAACCTTCAGCTTCAGGATACAAAAGTTATTTGTGCCTTTTTCCCTTCCAGGAAACAGACACACACACACACACACACACACACACACACACACACCCCAAAAATAAGTATCATAAAGACAAGATAAGCCTGGGCTCCTGCTTTTCACCAGTAAATTGTGCTTTCAGCCAAGGGCAGCAACCACATCCCAGCTTCCAACACATTCTAACAGCCTGCCAGATGGGTAGACCTGACAGACACCTCGGAGACACATCCTAGGTCACCCACCGTGAGGACACCCGCATCCACAGGGAAGCCCCCAGCCGCTGACCACACCGCACCTTTCTCTCTCTGGGGCCGACATGCTCTTCTGAGTGTGAGCTTTTAAATTCTGCTCAATAAACCTCTGTTTGCCTCTCACTGATGCGTCCTGAAAATTCTTTTTTCCTTTTCTTTTTTTTTGGTACCGGGGATCGAACTCGGGTCCTTGCGCTTGTGAAGCAGGTGGAGGAGCCACTGAGCTAAATCCCCAGCCCCCGAAAATTCTTTTCTCTATGATGGAAGTCAGCGAACCCACAATCTGCCCCGTGGGCAGGGTGAGTCGAGGTTCCCCATCTCCTCTTTGGGGAAAGTCTCCGACCCTATCCGAAGACACTGTGACAAGTTAAGAAAACTAAAAAGACCCATCTTGGTGGTGGCCAGGAGTTTCTGGACAGAAAAGAGAGCACGGCGTAGTTTGGGCACTGTTAGCGTCCCGTCGCCATGGAGACGGACAGTTCCATTCCTCCTCAGGGGGTGGGTTAGATTTTCTTTCCTCTCCCAATCCTATTGCGGTGCGCAAAAGAGCACTCTGAGGAACCAGCGGGGCTTACGTGTACGATCTTGAGGCTCCTTGCACCGAGGCGGTGTGGGGGACCTGCGCGCTCCCCCCTGGCGGAGGCAGGCATCCGGGTTCCACCCTAGGGTCCCGGTGGTGCGGCCCGGAGGGAGCAGGGTCCGGAGTCGGGGAAAGGGCTGCGCCCCCAGCCGGTGTCTGAGTCCCGGGCGACCTCCAGGATGCCAGAGCCCGACGGTTCCCGCAAAGACCCTGCGCGGCGGAAGAAGAAGGAGCCGGTGCACAGCACCGTCAGCCAGATCTGCCCGCCTCCTCGGCGGCCCCTGGCCGTGGCCGACCTCCGCCCGGGCATGGAGAACCAGCGGCTGGGGCTCGTGCGCGACTCCATGCTTCAGAACCCGCTCATCGTCAAGGTGAGCGCGCAGGCGCCGCGGGCTGGGGCGAGGACGGCGTCGGAAACTCGGGTGCCCAAAGCCGCGGGCCGTGCGTCAGGGGCGGGTCGCGCCGCCCCGAGCCCGGCTCCACGTCCTCAGGTGGGACGATGGTCCTCAGCAATGGGCGCGCGGGGACGCCGGGACCGGGCCAAAGCTGGCTGCCGCGGTCTCCCCGGAGCTGGTTGTGAGCCCCAGGGAGACAGATGGGTCGCACGCTCCCCGGGAGGTGGGCGCAGACCGCCCATCCTCTTCTTCTCGTACCCCGGGGCTACTTTGGTGTGGCCGGCGCTGTGCGTCTCCCGGAAGCAACACTTCCCAAGCTCACCCTCCTCATCCTCTTATCCAAATCACTACCTCAGAGAAGATCAAAGCATGACTCTGGCCCGGGAGGCTTCGCCGGCTGAACAGGGGGCTGGATCCTTTTCCGCGACGTCGCTGCCTTTCTCTCACCTTCCCCAGGCCGCGGGAAAGTCGGGTCAAAGTTGGGCTGTGGGGACGCGCCGTGGAGCAAACTTCTCCGGCGCCACTGGAGGGCGGTGCGCCTTTAGAAATGCGCTGCGCTTCCAGGTTCGCCGGGGGCTGTGGGCGCCGACGGCCACCAGCAGGGAGGCCATTGACAGACCCAGGCGCTGGTTAGCGCCCAGAGGTGGTGGTCGGTTGGTTGGCTGGAAGGAACTCGAGTCGCCTTCACACGTTGGAGAATTGCCGAGTCTCCTCTTGCCTTCCTCGAAGACCCTCCTGGAGACAGGGACGGCACACTTCTCACACTTGCAATGTAGAACAAGGCCTTCGCTTAACAGTGAGTTGGTGTATGATGCCCGCTGAGTGAAATGTACCCGCACATCTGCGTGTGTTTTATCCGATGTTGTATATGCGCGTGTGTATAATAGATTACATATATGTGTGTGTGTGTGTGTAAAATTTAATGCCCGCAGCTCTACGTGTAAAATTCTCTGCCTACCCCCCCCCCCCATATTAGGGGACAACTTTTAGCCTCTGGGTGGCACTAGCTGCCCAGCTTCGAGGACGGATCCCATCCCTGATGCCTGACTCGGTGTAGGGATGGAAAATGCCCCAGGGATGGCTGAGGCGCCCCTGGGCTCCTGTGTTCGGGAGTCAGGCGTTGGGACTGCGCAGGTCCCTGGAGACAGGCGAGCGGCACGCCCACAGCCTGGGCTGCCTGGTGACTGAGCCTGAGGACGCTTCTCCTGCTAGGGCCGCCAGGGGGCAGCCTTTCCCCGTGTCCCGGCATCTGGGGCCCAAGGTACTTTCTGCTGCCATAAAGATGGTGTCCGCATTTCAGTATTTACACTCCTGGAGGGGCTTCTGTCAACACCTGACTGAGATGAAAGTTGTCAGGGAAATTGAGCGGGAAAGATCGTCACTGCTAGCGTTTCCAGAAGCTGTTTGCAGGCGAGTCCACGGAAGCCGCCTCTGCCAGGTGTTTTGCTCAAGCCTCGCGCTGATTCTGGGTTAGAAGCAGTGTCCTGGCCGCGATCGCCTTTACCACTCCAGACGGCTTCCTGTGCATAAAGATTTGACTTGTGAAACTTCAGAGGTTCTGGCTTTAAGGACAAAGGGAAAATGGAAAGTGTCTAAGGTTGTGGAGCCTTAAACATTTATTTTTAAATTTTATTTTATTTTTTCTTGTCTTTTTTGTGGTACGGGGCATCAAACTCAGGACCTTGCGCTTGCGAGGCAGGTGTGGTGCCACTGAGCTAAATTCCCGGCCCCAACATTCTTTTAAATGTTACTGAAATTTCTGCTGAGCTTGTGGATCTCTTCATTGTAGCTTCTCAGCTTCCTGGGCCCAGATTTTCAGGTCCTGAGCTGAAGTGTGTGTGTCTGAGTCCTGGAAAGCCCTCTACCCTGCATGTCTTTGGGAGGGTGATTGGGCCTGAGGTGTATTTTAATTTTGTCTACACAGCCTGAAGCAACGGATCTCTATTGGAGGAATATAGCACCTTAGAAATAGCCGTCTGTGCCATCGTGTGAGGGGTTGATGCTTGGACTCTTTTCTCCAGTGGGTGGGATCAGCATTTTTTCATGGAAAATGTTGAGACACTGACTGAACAAACCAGCACTGGTATTTTCCACTGGTGGAATTTGCCAGGAAATGTACATATCAGTGATTCAGGAACATGCCTGTGAGATGCCACAGTAACCAAGCAAAAAGCGAAAAACTCAGATATTTAAATAGGTATTTTATCCACAAGTGTGCAACATCTAGTTGCTTCTTTTAAAACCAGCCAACTGGCTATCCCGGGGGATCAAATTGAATCAAGAAGGTGGTTTGTGTGGCCACAAAAAGTTGCAAATAGTTTTCATTAGAAAGGGCTTCTCTTCTAGTACAGGTAGTCAGATTTCCTCCCAGGGTGACTCTCCGGGAGGGATAAAATTAAATAGAGAAAGAACGGAGCTTCTTCCTCCTTGATTCTCATTTCCCCAGAATCCTGTGACTCAGCATGGACTCATGCAGCAATAGCCTTCAAGGCTCCTTCACAAGGCCTGTCGAGGGGCCCCTCCTGCCATGGGAAGCCGGCTGATAGCCCGTCAATACAATTATGGGGAGAGACTGCTTGGGTCGAGGCACTGACAGCCTTGAATCGTCTGTCGCCCCGGAGAGACAGGCTCTGCACAGGGGTGGAATTTATTGAACTGAGCATCCTTAGAAAGTGCAAATGATCATGGCACCCGATTTTTTCGTAATTTATTGCTGACTTTATTTTGGGGGGGCTATGTTACAAATAAGAGGTGCATGTATTTGTGAAACAGTCATAGAATCACAGTGGTTGGGGCTAGAAGGAAGCTTATAGACATCTAACCCAACTCCTTTTTTTGAGGATGTTAAAGTCCAGTGAGAGGAGGAGACTTGCTGAGGTTCTGCCCTGACCTGGTGACAGAAATCGGGTGACACTCGGGCCTCCTGGTTTACAGCCCTGTGTTCTTTTGGCCACAACTCATGATTTGTGGATCACTGCCAACCCAGGTTGGCTACAATCCTGTAGAGCAGGCAGTCAAAAATATCCTCCAGTGCATCTGATTTCAATATCATTTCACTCTGTGCTCTTTCTGAGGTGAGCGCCACTGATTTTCTGGACTTGTTGCCAACCAAGAAATATA